TCATCCCGCGGCGGAACTCGGTCATGCTCTTGCCCAGCGACCGCGCCACCGTCGGCAGTCGGCTGCCGAACAGCAGGATAGCGACGACGCCGACGATCAGCATCTCGACGGGGTTGAGTCCGAACATGGCTTTGTCTTGACAGCAAGGCAGCGGGGCGGCGAACCAGCGCAATCGGCGCCGTTACTTCTGCGGTTCGTTGCTGTGGTCCTCGACCTCTTTCACGCCCTTCTTGAACTCGGTGATGCTCTGACCGAACGCGCGAGCGATTGACGGCAATCGCGTGCCAAAGAGCAGCAGCGCGATCACAAGGACAACGAGAAGCTGGACGGGGCCGATGCCGAACATGGCGGAAAGGGTCGCTGTGCCGTTCGCAGTGACGCCGCGACCGGGAGGGTAAGTCATTGAACGCTCGGCAGTTAGAGCGCACACTCTAGTCTACGCCGACGGTCGGGGGCGTCAAATGGCCGGCGGGGCGAACTGCGTTACAGTTCTATGGCGAAATACCAGCCTCTACCGCCGCAAAACGCCCTCTCGTGAGGCGATCCAGGGGTCGCGGCCGATGGTTTCGGCGTCGTAGCGGTAGTAGACCTCCAGGCACATCGCTCCAAGGGCGGTCGCGTAAACCCGGCCGCCATACCCCCCCCAGACGGTGTCGGGGCCCCAGCTGCCCGCCTCGGGGCCCTGGGCGACTTGGCGGGGGAGGACGGCCCGCTGCATGGCGTCGTTCCACTGCCGCCACGATTGCTCGCCAGCGGCGCCCGTCGAGCGGTGGTGGTGCAGAGCGAGCGTCGCGTAGTACCAGTAGTAGAGGTTCGGCTTTCCGCCCGGGCACGATCGACACTCCGCCCCGGGCATGTCGGTCAGCAGCCACGCGGCGGCCTCGCCATCGGCCGCGGGCGATCGCCGCGACACGCCGAGGATCTGCCGGCAGTACATGGCCTCGGCGGTCATGGTGCTGGTCGTGGGCCCGAGCCGCTGGTAGCAAGCGAGCCCGCCTTGATCGCCGCGGCGGACCGCCGTGAGGAACTTTTCGCACCCGGCCCAGGTCGTCTCGGGCACGACGACGCCGGCGATCTCGGCCGAACGCAGAGCCATCACGACCCACCCCATCTGGCTCATATCGCCGCGGTCGCCCGGTTGGTAACGCCAGCCGCCGTCGGCGCGATTCTGGGTGCGGACCAGATAGTCGACCGCGGCCTCGACAGCGGGTCGCAGCCGCTCGTCGCCGCTGACGGCCATCGCCTCGGCGAGCGCGAACGTCGCCATCGAGTGGCAGTAGGTCTTGGCGTACAGCGTCGCGTCGCCGGCGAGCGATCCGCTGGGTTCTTGCTTGTCGAGCAGGTACTGCAAGCCGCGCGTGTAAACGTCTCGGTACGGCCCCGCCAGGTGCGTGTGCCCCGCGCCGCCCATCGCCAGCAACGCAAGGCCCGAGAGGCCGGTCTCAGCGCCTTCGCCGGCGCGCTTGCGGTCTTGGCCGAGCGTGAAGGTCTCGCGCCCCGCTCCCCAACGCCGGCTATCCCACGAGCCATTTGGCGCCTGCGCGCGAGCGAGCCAATCGACGGCCGCGGCGACGGCGTCGAGCGACTCTTGCGAACCGCCCTGGTCGGCCGAGAGCCGCCGCTTGGCGAGCTCGCCGCGCTGGGCGTAGGCAGAGGGAGCGAGCGAGGAAGGGACGAGAGACGAGGGGCGGGGGACGGGGGTAAGTTCGGGCTGCGGGATCGGTTCAAGCGGTGGCTCCGGCGCAGATTCGACTTGCGATTCAACTTCTCGAGTCGCCGACTCCTGCGGCGATTCCTGTGTCGGCTCCGCGTTCTCTTCTTCAGCCTGAAGCGCCCACGGTTCAACCTCCGGCGGCGCCATCGAGTCCACCTCCGCCAACTCGGCTTGCGGTTCCGCCTTTTGCTCTGAAGGCGCGTCCGCCGCTTGAGGCTTAGCGGGCGAAGGCTCCGCCACAACGACACTCGGAACTTCCGCCGTCTCCTTTGACGCCGTTGGTTCCGCGTCCGCGACCGGCTCAGCGGCGACCGGCTCTACCGCGTCCGCCTTGGGGTCGGGCGCCTCGGTGGTCCGCAGTACGATCCGCACCTTCTGCAGCGGCGCGTCTTCGGCGCCGGGTCGCGGCGGGCCGCCGAGGCGGATGCCCGCCATCGCCGCAAGCAGCAGCAGGTGGGCAGAGATCGACAACGCCCCGTAACGGTGCAGCGGTCGCCGCTTGCCCCACTCGGTGAACGCCGTCGCGGCGCAGCCGCCAGCGGCCAGCAGGGCCAGCGCGGCGAGCAGGGTCGAGAGAGACATCGTGCGTCCTCTCCCGTTAGCGGCGGATCGTTTCTTCGGCCGTGTCTACTGACACGCCCACGTCGGCGATCCCCGCCGCGCGGCACGCGGTGAGGGCGGCGGCGATGTGTTGAAAGTCGCAACGGGCGTCGCCGTGGATTAACACCGCTGGGCCCGCGTCCGAGGCCGCGCTCTCTTTCGCCAGCGTGAGGTCGGCCTTCAACTCATCAATGGATCGCACCTCGCCATCGAGCGTGATCTCGCCCGCCGCCGTGACGCTCACGACGCGTGGCTCCACCACCGCCGCGACCGACGTACCTTCCGATCCAACGGTCGGCAACTCGAGCTCGACTGCGCGCTCGACCTCCGCGAACTGGGTCGCCGACATGAAGAAGATCACCAGCAGGAACACAACGTCGATCATCGGCGTCAGATTCAACGCGAACGGGTCGGCGCCGGTGGCATCGCGTTTGAGAGGCATGCAAAGGGGTTCGGGGCTAAGGGGTTGAGGGGCTGAGGGAGCTGAGGCGAACTGTTTCCCGAGGCCCTAAGCCCCTCAGCACCTCAACTCCTAACCCCTCCGCTAAGCGGCCCGTTTGGTTCGGCGCGGCCTGGCGGTTCCTCGCTCTTCGAGCGCTTCGGCCGAGATCAGGTTCACGAGCTCTTGGCCGTGGCGGTCGATCTGGCCAACCAGCGTGTCGATGCGGCCGGTGAGGTGGAGGTAGGCGATCATCGCGGGGATGGCGACGGCGAGGCCCGCGGCGGTGGACATCAGCGCTTCGCTGATGCCGCCGGCGAGCAGCTCGGGCTTGCCCATCGCCGATTCACTGGCGATCGCGTTGAACGATGTCCGCATGCCCCACACCGTGCCCAGCAGGCCGAACAGCGGGCACAGCTGGCTGACGCCACTGATGACGCGGACGTACTTGCGGAGGTCGGCCGCGGCGCGTTCGCCCTCGTCGAGGATCGCTTGCTCGACTTCCACCGCGGGGCGTCCCCAACGGCGCAGGCCCGCCTCGAAGACGTTCGCGATAAGACTCGAGTTCTCTTCACACAAGTCGAGCGCGCCCGACTTATCGACGGCGCCCTCTTCGACCTGAGTGAGGACACAGTGGACGAACCGTTTCGGAACGACACGGCTATGACGCAGCGCCATCAGGCGCTCGATGACGCACAGCACCATGACGACCGAGGCGATGCTGATCGGCACGAGCAGCGGGCCCACGCTGAGCACGGCGTCGAGCAGAGTGGTTTGAGCCATTCGCGATTTCCCGTCGGGGCGTCCACGGTTGGCGCCTATTCACGCCGCCGCCGACCGGCGCCACAGGGGCGCGGTCGGCGACGAGCGATTCGATTGTCAGCGACTCTAGTTCAGCGGCGGCAGACACTCGGCGTTATCGACATCGCCAACCATGTGCAGGTGGTTGTGGTCGATGTAGAGCACTTCGCGGGCGTCCTCGTCACGGATGGTGTGAGGCACCGGCCAGCCGACGCGACGCACGTCCTCGTAGTAGACGGTGCACTTGTAGTGGGCGTGGTGCTGTTGAGCCGGGCCGATCATCGGGTAGACTCGGACCGGGTCGACATAGTCGGCGATCTTCTCCTTGACGATCCGCACGTTGTTGCGGTTGCGGACCCAGAGCATCGGGATGCCGCCCTCGATCGGCCGGGCCTTTTCCAAGGCGCGGATGACCTCGTCATCGCTCGGCGGGTCGAGCGCCACGGGCGGTCCGCCCGAGTCGTCGATCGGTCCGAGGATCGGCACGCGGTCGTAGCGTTCGTGCTCCCAATACTTGTCCTCTTCCTTCTTCTGAAGGTAGGGCGAAATCGGGATGGGGACCGCCAGGATGCCCAGACTCGGGCCTCCGCTGACCAGTCCCCAGAAGCATCCGGTGCTCGTCGTTGTAACCGCCGCCACGAGCAGTGCCGCGGTGGCGAGTTGAGGCCGGAGCATCATGCGTTGCCGTGCCATCGAAAAGGACCCTCGTCTGATAGCGAGCGACGTGGGCGCGATCCTGCGCCGCCCGACGCCACGTGATTCGATAGTCTTCTTATCGTGTGAAGCTGGGCGGAACTTGCGGGTTATTCTGAAAATAGTGGGTAGTGGAGTAGTGGGTAGTGGAGTAGTGGGTAGTCAGCAGTGGGTAGTCAGCAGTGGTAGCGGTGTTGGCGGTGTTGGCGGAGCCGACGCCGTTTACTGCCCACTGCCGACCGCCCACGCCCCACCACAAAAGCCGCAAGCCCCCGAGGGAAG